GATTCGTTGAATGTTTAATTTGATGGTTGTTTAATTGAAAATGTATGATTTCAGGCGGAGAATTTATTGCTCGATTCGGATATGAATATAAAGATAGCTGATTTTGGATTTAGCAATCAATTTGTTGTAGGTGGGTGTATGCCTTGTGTGCCTTAGTGCTCATCATTCATTTTTGTTTCCATTTACACGAGATGTTCGTGAAGTGTAGTTCTGATGAATTTGAAGGCTACTTTTCCAATCCCCCTAAAACAAAGTCTTCTGAATCTCTATAGTGTTGCATCAGGTTCAAGCGAATTAAGACAACATTCACCATGAACTGTAGATCATTCTCATCAGGAATTATGAAAATAATATGGAAACTTTCGTTCCTTAATATTCCAATTGGGCGGAATTTTGTTCAAATTTCTAAGCTCCTTGAAAATACGTTATCGTTTTGACTTGAGAAACGTTGAAAGTACGTATTTAATGTTGAGATTCTTGGGATACCCTGTGTATTTTTGAGAGTTTGTGACATATACGCATGCGAGAACTAGAGAACTTTCAAAATGTGAACGATTTTAGGTAATAAATTAGATACATTTTGCGGCAGTCCACCGTATGCGGCACCTGAGCTATTCCAAGGTAAAAAATACGATGGTCCTGAGGTGGACGTATGGAGCTTGGGCGTTATCCTTTACACACTAGTCTCTGGAAGTTTGCCTTTCGATGGTCAAAATTTAAAGGTTATTTTTGTTATTATAATGCACTAGAATGAGAGTCATCGTTGTTTTCATTAATATTGTTTTGATATGTTCATTTGTGGCTGAATTGCATTTCGTATACGATTAGAACATCGTAAATGTTGACGAGTGCCGACTTTAGACAGTTTTTTGATTTAGGGTGGAGAATTTATTGCTCGATTCAGATATGAATGTAATGATTGCCGAATAAGAGTGCAGTGGTTATTGTTGCTGAATTTTAGGAGCTCCGCGAAAGGGTGTTGCGAGGAAAATACCGCATACCATTTTATATGTCGACCGACTGTGAAAATCTCTTGAAGAAGTTTTTGGTACTGAATCCAGCACGACGAGGCACCCTTGAAACGATCATGAAGGATCGGTGAGTAATGAAAGCTTTTTGTGATTTGTTAGAAACATTTGAACTCAAATTTGGANAGCTGCGATAATGAAAACAATGATAAAGTTACTAGCAATGAGAATACCAGGAATACTGATGATGATAACATCTATAATAATGTGGTTCTTGTATTGTGACTTTTCATACGAATGACAGTCTGCATTAAATGTGTTGTGTTTTCGGGATGATTTGGTTTAATTTGAATGAGATACATTTTTGTTATCTTTTATTTTTATTATGTTAAGCGATTTGTATCGTTAAACGATTTCAAGATGGATGAACATTGGGTATGAAGAAGATGAATTAAAGCCTTTTATTGAGCCGAAACGCGATATCAAAGATGAGAATAGAATTAATAAAATGCAACAAATGGGATATAATCGGAATGCGATTATAAACTCTCTGGAAAAGGGTAGTTTCGATGATCTACACGCCACTTATATACTGCTTGGCGAGAAAAAACAAGAGGTAGTTGTCATTTCATTAATTAATTCATCATTGTCAGTTGATTCCATGTAAGAATTTGCCTTCATTCGCCCTGTCACAGAAATATATTCCATCATCGTATGTAAGTTAAACACACTATTCACTACAGTCGAACTGACGACGAGGTGAAGTTGGATANNTTTTTTTTTAATAAATGCGTTGCAAATCCATTTTATCATAATGGAGAAATTTTTTGTTGTGATTCACGTGAATGCGCTAACAAGTAATAACATTCGTCGAATTCACTTTTAGTTTAGTTTACATTGAAACGTGAGCTCTTTTTTTTTTGATCAGATTTGACGTATCTATCGAATCAAGCAAGCAAAACATTAGATGGATTGTGTGATTTTATGTTTTCCGCAAAATGTATTATTGCCTAACTGTTTTGTTGTTCGTATAAAATAATCTTGAGTGTGGCATTTCACTGCAATTGAGTAAGTAATATTATATGTGGTTATTGCTGATAAATCAGCCAGAACAAGTCAAGCAATAAGTCTGCGTCATGCTTTTACTGCTTCATTCGTTTTTTAGCATTAATCAACGGCTAATAAATGCTTGTGCTTTCGGTTGCTTTTTCCTCTGTTTCTTCTTTTTCTTCTCTTATTTGCCATTTATTTACATGTCTAACGATTACCACCGTACACATTCACTAACCAGCAACAATAACATTTTTCATTTTCCACTGGCCTTGTATTCGTTCCATTTGTCGTCACACGCAAAAGCCTTTTTGTTGGCGAAGAAGACCCAACATTCAGTAGTCATGCATCTAATCCATTAATTTCATGCGATTCACGTGTTTTGCTGCGGACGAAACTTCATTCCCTGGAAGTTCCTCTAGTTTATGCTTATGTTTGTGTGCTCATTGGTCATCAGATATTGAAGGGCTAAAATCGATTTTGAAAGCTGATTTGAATGTTAACGGAAGAACTCTTGGATTAGTTTGCATTAGACATCATTTATGTATCATGATGGTGGTCGTCTTAATATTTTCACAATACGATTCGATAAGAATGTATGAAAGATGAAACTAATCGCATGATATGAGGGGTTTACACGGGGATTTAATATGATAAAACATCAGAAGGAGAGATGCAATATGGATAATTTGAGATATTATGATAATGTGTGTAATGTTCATCCTCAAATGTTCAACAGAAACGAATTTGTTGGTTATTTACTGCAATTTCAACGTTCCTAGATCTCACCAATTGTGCTTAATCAACGCATTTGTGCTTAATCAGTTGTGCTTAATTAACACATGTGCAAAAAATGTTTGAAGGATTTCTTGGAATATCATCCGCCTCGCTTTCTCGCTTATATAACTTGTTTGTTCATATTAACGAATCAGTTAGATCGTTGATGTTGAGTGGTGTCGCTAATGAATAACCTAAAAATAACATTCAAAGGATGTGCAAAAAAGAATTAACTCATAATTTCTGTTCGCAATGAAAAAGGAGTAATGAA